AAATTGAACATAGAATACAACGAAGAAATATAGATTTCTAATTATAATATTTTTCATGATCAATTTATGTTTATTTAAACGCAAATTTAGCATAAGAACCAAGGAATGTATCAAAAATCCTCTCACTTCCGTGGAATACATAACAAAAGAGATAAATATACTACACTGTCCCTTAGTTATGAAATCTTCTCAGTGAAGTCACCATCTAATTTACTATGTACTCTTCTCGGAATAAGATAATAAAGCAGGCGAAGAAATAACGACAACCCATGACCGTCCCTTTTAAGGAGCATATAGATATATAGAATGTACGTTTGGTATTCTAAAGATATAAAGAATCAAAACTTGAAAAGTCTATGTAGTGTTACTCAGTGACAACGATGTAAAACGAATTGTCTCTCTACTCTTATTACCACATTATAATTTCAGTATGAAACCAGTGAATTGTAAAAATGTATAAAAGAAATAGTCAGTTATACGAATTTAAAACACCAGTATATTGAACACAGTTATTATTAATATATGTGTTGATCTATAACGATGGACAGAAAAGTACATAGTTAACTAAGGACTGAAATCAATAACGATGAGGTGAAGGTAACATAAAATCTGACATATGTAACTTCTCTTCCACTAATTTTGTTGTTGTCACAGCTGGGATATTTCTGGATAGAGATAACAACATCAATTTGACTGTCATCTCTAGGGAAGTATCACGAGAGAGTGAAATCAACTTATTTCTTATAAGTACTTTGCAGTATTTTTCTACAAGATGCTGTATGGGTTAAAATGTTAAAAATTTCACTGTTTTACATTTAATCGATGCATCAATAATCGACCTCTACATTTAGGTCTTTGGTGTTGAAGAGTTTTCAACTTGGCTGTAATCATTTGCAAGCTGAAGTCATGTCAAGTTGTTTCTATTCGAACACCGTGGATAGCTCCATTGAATCGACTCACAGTTGTCTTCAATTTAGATTGACTGTTTCCGTTCCATCTTAAAAAAGAGTTCTTATTGTTTGACCATTGAAGTTTGGAGACTCTTGCTTCCCACTTTTCAACTGTTCCTGCAACGGTATACACTTCAGTATTTTTCTGTGCGTCTGGTACAGTGGTTATGACTCTCGCCAACCATGCACATGGTCCGAGGTTCGATCCCCTGCCAACGCGCACACCTGATATCTATGGTCGGCCTGCGAAATTTGGGTTACCGATATCCATGCTGAAAACACCACACTTGTACCAAAAATACAGTGTGGAATCAAGCTGTAATCAAAAATAAAATATAAAAAAATAAGGATAGCCAACTTAAGTAAGAAAACCAAAAATCAAAGCCAAGAAATAAGGTATCCAAGGAGAGGGTATTCTGTTTCGGATGAAGCTGTGTTTAACTTCTGTGACCTTTAGATTTCAAGGTAATAAAAATATGCAAACAAAGGGAAAAACTTATCATTAGTTAATGAATTCCTAAATTGTAGCAGAAAATATTTAGGAATATTTAGCAAAAAGTAACTCTTGAGAAAGTTAGTTCTACTCTAAAATGATGAAGGAGCAACATCGAAGATTAGTTCACACCTTTTAAGGGAAAATAATAAACAAGCATAAATTCAGTCGTAGGGGCAATTCAGTAATGAATGATAATTATCTTTGTTTGATTTCACTGAAGCCTACAGAAAACCTGTACATTCAGACTGATATTTAGGCAAAGTTAAACTTTAGTCACTACCAACTGTCAATCAATGAATGACCTCGAAAGCACCAATCACGCGAAGGAGGCATTTTTGTGTACGGAATACATATATTTATGAAAAAGATGTATAAAAACTGTATAAAAGTGTTACAGAGGATACGTTCCTCTCATATTTGATAAAAATAGCTCTGTTTTAGGTTGGAGTATCAACAGAGTATAATCCCATTGTGGGTAAAATTTATTTTGATAAAATCTCAAGGTGTTATACAGCAATATTTACTGGGCAATAAACTGTGCTCGAAACGTCATCAGTAAACGTTACTGTATAATATTGTGAGAATTTATCAAAGTAGATTTAACCCACAATGGAATTATACTCTACCGCCACAGTGCACAAGCTTTATTCTTATATCAACAGAGTAATTTAACCATATTCTATGCGTGTAATTAATTAGGTCTTCTAACCCTAACAATAACCCTAATCTTTCCTAAACCTATCACTAACGTGAAAATATGCCTAAACTAACTGTAATCTAACTTGAACTAACGCCAATATCACCTTCAATAGGTTACCTAACCCCAACTTGTCATTGGCCTTAAACCTTAACTTAATCTTTCCCTAACCTAAGGTGAAACTTGCTAGAAATCCCACTTAATGCCATAACATTTCGATGAGGATATTTTATTGGTGATGACAAATTTATTTGCCAGGTTTCGTAACTTGCTCACTGGGCATTTCAAGGTCATTGATGCGGTCGCACTCCATTGGTTGGTAGTGGTGCTTAAAGTTTAACTTAGCCGATATTTGAATTTTAAACCACTGTATCGCATAGTAATCCAAACAGGCTTAGCATAGCTCTTAGACAGAAAAGTAAGGCAGCTGGCCTACAGAAAGACATTAATAAGAAGTGAGTCACATAAAATAGGCCATCGATGAATAATTTTAATGGTAAATTTATCCTTAAGTAAGCAGTTGAGTATACAAATAAAACGACAATCAGCTGTGATACATATAATGTTATTGACATCAAGAAGAGCGGATTGAAATCATTCAGAATATAGCTATAAAAGGAAAGGATTTCATAAATTTTACATTGGATCCAGAACAAGGTTGAAACTAACGGGATGTTTAAAAACAACAGACTCACTTTACAAAAAAACTTCTCAGCCAAAAGCTCTAATGGAGTTTTATAAGAGGAAAGAGTTTGGTTTGTATTACACCACGCAATCAATGTCAGACCGGACACACCAATCACAAAGAAGGTCAGATTTTATTGAACTATCGGAGCACAGAAAATTAATAAAGTATGGATTAATGGACCCTGACAGAGTAAGAAAGTTAGTGGAAAGAACAACTATACTATTACATGCAATTACACAACACTATACAATAGGTAAGGATATAGTGACAGTCTAAAAACCAACTCAGCAAGGTGAGGGGAAAGATATCTATAGTTTTTAAATCAAATTACTGAAGAACACATAGAATAAAAATGAAACAATTGTTTCACGTGTCTGAAAAACTTATCCTACAATAAAAAAGAACGAGAGCTGCGATTCTAAAAATAAACTGTACTCAAAGTATCATTCAGTGAGTGATACTGTTTCACTGTGAAATAAATCACCAAGAGTTTGTGGATGGCATTATGTGAGAATACCTTTCAACTACTAAATGTGAGTGGTAGAACAGACAGATAAGCATTGATGAAACTTTAAAGAAGAACCCTAGGTGATTCAAAGTGCAATTGAAGTTATGATATGATTTTTAGCTACAAAATTTGGAGTCTATCCACGACAGTGTAATAGATTTCTATTAGCACTATGATTATGTGGACTCAGATCACTATCTAATGCAACGAACCTTCAAGATCAAGTTGAAGGCACAAAGAAGGCATAAATAGACCAAAATTTAAGTATAACAATCAAAACCTGAGCGATGAACCTAAAAACAAATGTACCACAGCCTTCAGGAAAAAAGATGGAAGCCATCATAAAAATGACCCATGGAAAGAAACTGTATAGACAAGGCGAGAAAAAGAAGTAAGACAAGGAAATTCCCTCTATGGACACCTGGAAGCAGATAAAAGAAAGAAGAATGGTGAGACAGATGATGAACAGAGAAAGGAGAAACCGAGTTCAATCTGCAGCGCAATCTACAGTGCTAGGAAAGACAAAGCACACGTCGGAATGGATCACAAGCAGGAACTAACATGTTTGCAGTTGAAGCAGGGAATGTACAACTCCACATGAATATGAAAAAAAGAGGTGAAAGGAGATAGCTGACAACAACGGCAAACACAAACAGCCATCAATTAGAGGAATCTGAAGGGAGGCGTTTCTTTCATTTGCCCGGACGGGAGCATCGTTTGAACTATTAAGGTACAGATGGGGATAGCAAAACGAGGTAGGATTGGGAAAGCGAAACATATCTTCTTTACTTTGAAATGAATGTGGTGTGGGGATCTGCAGAACTCACCACACAACCGACTAGAATCTGAATTTTCAACACTATTTTCAGGTCAATCAGTGCATTACATACGTATTTCCAACAGACTTCAGAATTTCATCAACAAATGTCCTCTTCACTTGATTATGGAGATCATATGGCCCGTAAAAAAGGATAACCAACGAGGGAACTCTATCAGTGCAGCGAACAAACCAAGAATTTACCGCCTAACATATATGCAGGAGGAAATGGGGTTAGTTTGAACATAAACTAAGAGAACTATCAAATGGCACAGCAAGCTAGGTCGTTGGATGGAACCCAAATGTGAAGTGAATGGTTTATCATTTGAGGTTGACATAGTGAATAGCATCTGGAGAGGAAATGAAAGTCTGTGGGCAGTTGTGTAGATGGTTAAAATTAATAGCAGAGGACCTAGTGGAAGGGATGGGTGGCTCTGAGGTCTTGCGTCCCATTTGGAACGAAAGGAACTAATAATAATAATAATTAATGTAAGAGGTTTCCCACCAAACTGACATACTGGACTAATGCGACTACTGTGCAAAGGAGCATCAAATGGGTCTGTCTCTGTTTTCCTCTGCCAGTTTTAGCCCTGAAAAACGATGCTTATGGTAGCGATGTGAAAAATGACGAAACACTGCATCAAAATCTGTTTTACTTTGGCTATAATTGAATATTTTAAGTCCTATTACTATTGTCGTTTACATAATGTTACCAGTAGCAAGAATACACATTGTGAATAACATAGTGTGATAAAACACATGGGTTATCGAAAATGTTTAGGTAGAGATATTCACACTCAACGTTCACACAAAATTCGGTGCGTCAACAAGTAATACAACTTACGTGGTTGACACGCTGCTGCCAATACGTTTTCCCAGTCCCTTTGACACTGATCTTCGTCTAAAATATAATGACATGCAGCCTGTAATGCTTCGTAATCACGCCAACGTGGATAAAAGTTAGCTTCACAATTTTGAAGACTTTCTGCAAGTGCACGACGTAAACAATTTTCTCTATCAAATACTCCCCAACAGGCCTGAAAATAATCGGGTATTACAAAATGTATGTTTGGTAAATGGTTTGACAATCTGCAAAAAACTGCTTCTAATAATGGAGATAGAACTTCAAACTAGTTAGAAGCAAGGTCTTTTAATTCTGTTGGTAAACACTCCTTGAAATTCTAGTCTGATTCCTGAACAGCATAAGTTCCGTGTCAATTTTAGTTATTAATTGCTTGTATGTGTGTACATATACTGTTGCCAACATGAAGTCAAGATTATCTTGACCACAGAAGAAAAATACAAAATAAAATCTGATGCTCACTAGCGACTGGCCCTATTGAGGCAGTTAATCCGCGATTCTTTTGGGAAGCTGTGACCAGTAGGATGCAGCAGGATGATGGTGAGGCAGCAACTCATCAAAGAAGGCATTGCGAAGTGGTCGCACTATGTCATGAAGGGCAGAAGTTAGAATTCATGGACGGGCCCAGTGACTTAATGGTCTACGAGCTCTCCGGCTTTTAACCAGGAGGTTCTGGGTTCAAACCCCGGTGGGTGCGTACTGATGAAGATTCCCAAACCTGGACGAAACAGCTGTTCAGTATTCCCAGCTGGCCTTCCGAAGGTTCTCTAACTGATGTCGGCTTAAGATAAAACCCTCCAACCAATCCAACAAAGTCCCTACAAAACCAATACTTGGAAATACAAAATAAATCCAAAAACTGCTTTCTCACTGCAAAAAGCACAACCTGGGGACCGTAGTCGACAGTTGGACGTAAAAAGCTAGCTAACAGTGGTCTCGCATTTAAAAGTTACCATCCTTATTCTTCTCCATCTTTACCCTACATTTATTCCTTGCAAATAAATGCAAAAGATGCTGTTTTCATTCTAATCGAATATTATTCAAATTTATTCAATATTCAAGAAGGGCTGGTCACTTTACTCTGCCATAATTCCTTAAAAGAACCTTTATTTTAATGAGGTTTCACAAGTTTACACCTGTAAGTATACTGAATAGTCAACACACTAAGTTTATTTTTTAATTGATCCGTCTTGTCCAAATTAAGTTTCACTTTTTTTTCTATATCGATTAACCTGCTGTCATTTCACCATATGAACACTCCCTTCAATGAATAATAAATACATATTTAATACTAATTATGATTTCGTTACAATGAAACTCCATTTGACTAGGTTTTATTCTGAGGAAGTTCAAAGTTTCACTGAACCAACCTGTAAAACACTGTCCAATAGACAGTCGCCTGCAGTACGATTCCAAAGAGCAAACAAACGATTTGATTGCTTCTGACCAGGAATGAACCACCAATTGATAGCTTTTGCATCATCTTCTAACTCTAAAGTAAGAGAAAAGAAAGAAAGAAGGAGAAAAAGGAGACTTAGATATTTTGTTTCTCCCTTCACTTACACTAAGTAAAGAATAGTGAAAAACGGGCAGAGCACTTTAGGAAGTACTTATTAGTGCTCTTTTTTTCTTTGCTTAGATCGAGTTTAAAATTTAATCAAACATGTCTGTCTATCTGTCTATTTTCGACATAGAACTCGGTACATATGTGCGGCAGTTCAATTCGTCACACTCCATGTAGCACACAAAGCAGAAGAGAAGAAAGTAGAAGAAATGAATATTAGAGACAGCAAACAGAGATGTGAGACAAAGGAAGAGTAATAACGAAGAACAATATAGTTTCATTGGAAATTACAAGTCACAAGGAGTGGATGCATCTGCGCCCATCCATTGAGAACGATTTTGAGCCATGTCACCAATTGTTTCCAACCATTGGTTTTTACCGTCCCGAGGACCCCAACCAGTCAGGAAATCTACAACTTCCTACGTGACTGGCTTAGACTAACTGTTGTAGATTTCATTGACTGGTGCCATGCTTTTGTTTGATCGCCGCTAGCTCTTTTCCAGCCTGACCCTAAATCCGCTAACATTGCCAGTCAGTCGAGGAAGGCGATGACTTGGTATACGTAACACATGTCCTAACCATCTCAGTCGATGTAACTTCACAGCCTCGTCGATTGATTTCCCTCCTTACCTAGAACTCGACGACTAACTTCGATGTTGCTCACCTTATTATACCACTTCACACGGGAGATAGAGCTCAGGCACCTATGATCAAAGACAGCTAATCTTTTCATGTCTTCCACTCTCAGTGGCCAGGTCTCACAGCCATAAAGGAGGACGGAGCGGACTGATGAGCAGTACACTCGCCCTTTGGTCGATAGTCAGCCAGATATCGCGTCTACGCCAGAGACGGCGTAAACTGGGAAATGCGAAACGAGCCCCCTGTATCCATGCTGAGATTTCGTCAGAGATCAACCCGTTGGCACTGGCTGATGGTACTTCCTAAATAAGTGAAGCGATCAACGTACTCTACCACTTCACTTCGTATTTTTAAACTAGGGTCGGTGTAGTCCAGTCCTGTACCAGCATCTTGCATTTGGCGGGAGCGAATCGCATGCCAAACATTCGTAGATTGCAGCTCAAGGTGTTTAGAAGACTCTGCATTTTTTCAGCGTCTTCACCTAGAAGGACTATATCGTCTGCATATTCTAAGTCAACGAGATCATTCCCTGGTAGCAAGTCAATCCCTGAGTCGCTGAAGTCACTTAGGGTTAAGTCCATTAGTACATCTATGATGAAGTTGAATAGAAATGGGCATCTTTGGCGAACACCACTAGTCGTCACCAGTTCAGATGACAACTCGCCGTAAGCTCTCACCTGGCTGCATGAGTACGAGTAGAGTGCCTTAATCAGTGCAATGTATTTTCTCGGAATTCCCTTTACAGCCAAGCATAGCCAGAGGACCTCTCGGTCGACAGAATCGAATTCCGCCTTTAGGTCGAGAAATATAATGATCGTTGGACGCCGGTAAGAATGCTTATGTTCTAGAATCTGTCGGAGGATGAAGATATGATCAATACACCCTCTTCTGGTCTAAAGCCTGTCTGGCTTTCTCGTGTTTGTGCCTCCCGAGCACCACTTAGTCTGCGCATGATTATTGAGCCTAAGACTTTAGATACTATATTAGTCAAGCTAATCCCTCTGTGATTATCACAGGAAGACTTGTCTCCCTTCTTGTATACGGGATGATCAGTGACTTACACCAACCCGATGGAACTTCCTCTGTTTCCCAGACGCTGCTTAGAACCTCAGTTAATGCAGACAGTAAACTGTTTCCACCGTACTTAAATACCGCTGGATTCATTCCATCAGGTCCCGCTGCTTTGCCTTGTTTCAGATTAGTGACAGCTTTAGTAGCCTCAGTTAAGGAGGGAGGACCTGTATCTATATCCCAATCAGGGAGGTGTTGAATGTTCGGCAGGTTGAGCGTGGCTGTAGGCCAATTAAACTGCTCCTCATAGTGCTCTTTCCAACGCTCCAGTCGTCTATCCTGGGAGCTAATTATGGTGCCATTTTTTCTCCGAGATTGTTTCACTTATCATTTGCCTTTTGCCACCTGTTTCCCTGATAAGCCTAAATAGTTGTCTGATGTTGCCAATCAGACATAATAACAAGCACTTCATGCACTGATTCTGACTGAGGTTAGAATATTGAAATAACTGCAGAGTAAAACGTAGAATAATAACAGTCTAGGCTTTGAACAATACATCAAACAAAATTTCAAGCAAACGACACATTTTTCTCCAGCCTGAATAATCACATATAAGAATTTCCCCTAACATGTTAATTTCGTCCAGGTGAGTTGTAGGACCATGTAAATTAAATCGAAATTACAATATAGCTGAAACAACTTCATTCACCTCCACGAAGATTAAATGGGAGCTAATTTTTGAAGTCTATTGTTATTTGCAAAACATCAGTTCGCTACCACCGCAGAATCGTATAAAAATTTTCCGATGTACAGTTTTAATATTGTTACGTTTTCACATCAATTTTACTTAAATGTAGCCAGTTTTAATGACCACTGCTATAGTTATTACTGATACTTACAAGATTGCATATAAGTAATTGATGTCTCTTAGGGATACTCAGAGATAAAGTTCACTCAACAAAGGTACTATAGAAACATGAAATGTTTGAAAAATCTATAAAATCCTTTAAAAAATAACGGTCACATGGCAAGTCAACTACTAGTAATCCTACACCCTTACCATGTCCTTAATTTATTACGACTTTCTTTCGTATACTTCTTCCCACGGACAACAATCAATGTTGAAGGAAAGTGAAATACCACACGCACAACTGGGAATATTCAAGTGCAGACAGAATCATTTTTAAACGTTAATAATAAACATCTGTCCGTACTGCATCAATAGAGCGCGACAATTCACACGTTGCTCTAACTAAAACTTAGCCACTCTAATAGAAGATATCTGTAGTGTGCAGTAAATCACTCTCAGAGTTGACATTTCGTTTAACCTAAGAGATTCTCTAGCAAACTAGACAATAAAGTATGTATCAGTTAGCCACGTTGACAGGAAGATAACTTCAAAGAGAACAAGGACTTTTAGTATAGAAAAAGGTAAACAAAACGGTTACCGTTGAATTTCTACATATTAATATTAATGCACAAACGTACTTGTGGGATAATGTAATAGATGCATAAACAAATTAAAAAGGGTGAACCTATGAATAGCTAAACTGTACGGTCATACTACATTTATAATAAAACTGTCATATGACGAGAGATACAATTTTCCCATCACTAAAAATAGCAATTATTATGTAAAAGAATCTGAGACAAATAGAACTACATGATGGTAATGATATAGAGAAAAAGCCTTTTATGCAATCACATGTTTTAGCATTGTTATAAGAGATGATCTTTAGTGAAAGCGTACGCAGACAAGCACGTGAGCACGGTGTGCTTTTTGTTTACTATAATAAAATACTACTATAAAATAATACATATCAATTAGTAATAATACTACTTTAACTACTAGAAAGATTTCTTGTAACAGATACAGTTCTCATTAATGTACACATAATTAAGTTCAACAAAACTACAGACTAAACAAATGCCTTTGATTACCTAACTGATGTTATTTATAACAACTGGTATTACTACTTGAGGTGGTACTAATTTATAAAGTGTGAAAAACGCTAAAATAGTTTATTGAGTCTTATTTCCATGGGTTCGAAATTCACTTTACTTACTAAGATTTTGAGTCACTAGATATCATAAGTTTGCATATATTAGGTATCGTTCGTAGACATGAGCATAAACTTCGAGTTGCGTTGAGCTTTGAACACGTGAACAGAAAGTAGTAAACAACAATTTTTGACGCTGAACTTAATAATTTTACATAAATATTCTGTCGTTGAACTAATAGGTTTAAGTTTATTGATCGGGAAGCTTTTACTCATTGCAGGTTAAGCTAACATATACAATAATGGATGAGTACCTTGAAGATGTGAAAAATACCTCCTATACGGTTACTACTAACTGAGGAGTTTAACTACGATGTGCTCGCTTAGAAATCATTTACTACATTTATTTTTGATACCAAATCTTATGACATTTTTATTTGTAATGAATTCACTAACCTGACTGGGCTTGCATATCACATAGTTCTGATAAAAGCAACTGTTTCACTGGAGCAGGAAATTTTGTAATTGAATGTGGCAGAGCAAAAGTTCCCCATTCAGAAAAATAGGCGCATGGAAAGTCACCTTTACGATGCTTTACTGTTTTTGCCAGTAAATCACGCAGTTCACCGGCAATATGAGGACTTGCCTGACACGGCATCCATTTGCTTCTACTAACTTGGGTTTTGTTCATACCACCTGGAGTTCGATTGAAAAGTAATTGAAGTGCTGGATGTATCTGATTTCCTGTCAAACTATTGCTTAATTTACGATTTCCCTGACTATTTTTACCCTGAGTTTGTCCCTCCTGAAATGGAGTATTAGATGCATTACTCCGAAAATTTGAAGTTGTAGCTGTAGGAACAGTACCAGCAGCAGTAGTGCTACAAGCCGTGACAACTGTGTTCACAAAAGTAGCATTAGCAGTGGTACTTGAGGAGTTCGTGGGCAAAGGAGAGTGTTTAGAGCCAGAACCAACGGATATGGCACTACTAGTAGCCTGCAGGCCAATCAAAGCGATAAACAAATTAATTAAATCTGTACGACAAAATCTAAGTGCCAAATCGACTAACGTCCAGCCAGACCGGAATTTATGCCCAGCGGGTGAGAATGTACAGTCCACGTTACAGGAAAACAGTCCCCCATCAAAATTTGAAATAGCTGCTCTTTGAGAAAGACAACTGTTTTCAGACAGCAGGTTGACATTTATATCATCAGTTTGTTTTGGGCAATGGTCAGTAGCTTGTAAAAATGTCGGCATATCACAATTTGTTACTGACTGAATATGTGAATTCAAAAAACGACATTCCTATTAAGAATAAAATGGAGAAAGAATAAACATTACGAACTTCTTATGGCAAAGAAATTTAAGCAATAGCATATATAATTATGTCACTATATAAATAAATCTAAACATTTCCACCAGTCACAGCTAAAATTTCGTCAATGTAAGCCTTTCATACGATAAAACAATTTTCTGCAACACACAGACTCCCCGAAAATACATAGCTTGTAATTACGGTATATCATTTAGTAGGATAAAACGAGAACACGCTTTATGCATTATTCTTTACCTCCTGTTATACAACTACTTGCAGTTGAAACTCTCTTCTCGATTTTGACTAATGCTTTCGTTTTTATACTTTTTAAGTATGTGAAAACTTCACGGTTACATAAATTTAATCTCTCATTTAGAAAGCCAAGTATAATTAGTGATTTACAATTCTCAGTTTCATATCGATAGACCAATCTGTTCGGCTCCTAGTGCGAATGGCTCGATATTGTTAGATGCACTATGTTTAGTACAAATTCACAGTGAAATGTGACCACTAGAAGCTGATCCACTGAAAATGCTCGAGTTTCAACCTGTCAGCTATCGCGGAGAAACTCGAACTCAACAGCACTCACTGTTTAGAACGCCAAAACAGTACCCAATAAACTAATGAGTAATCAGAGCAACTTTTTATGCAATACCTACTGGTTATTATAAAAACTGTGGCAGTATCAGGAGACATATGTAAGAAGCTTACAAACTATTTGAACGCGACCAATGAATTATGTTCAGTAATATGAACAAGAGAATACAAGAACTTTTAAATATTATCTATTACAACAAGTAATAACTGCAGGTCATTAGTATGATGCATCTAAATTAGTATTACATATTGCGAATCAAATACATTCAACTTGTGAATTTGAAGTAGTACGGAAATCATGTCTTAAGTTTTATTTCTAGGTATGGTTGAGGAGATAAAAAGACACATTAATAGTGTACACTCAATACACAAAACTCCATGAGTCGAAAAGAAAAACTCTACTGAAATAAGATGTAACAAAAAAATACAGTACACATTTTTTATTCCTTTGCGTTCCGAGTGCAGCATAGGGCTTCAGGCTTGAACAGTGGTTTTGTCTTAACAGAGTGGGGTTGCAAGTCTCACACCCAACCTTTCCTCTTTACCCGGCTTACCACCACCTAAGCAAGATTTAGGAATGCGTCGGCAGGGGGGATTGAAGCCCAGACCACATGCGCGGTTGACTACCATTCTACCACTGCGCCACCAACACCCACTATAGACAGTTCTATAATATCAATAGGCGGATATATAGATGACCAAGTTAATCAGTCACACATTGAACTAAAATATTCTAAGATTATGATGTGCTAAGATAATTATATCCCTCAAAACTTGTTAATTTTGAGTAATTCAAAAACCGAAACTAAGAAAAACAGCGGCTTTTAAAATAATTGTAGATTTTTACATCTGTAGTTCTTATTGTGAACAGCAAAAACGCGGTAAATTTGTATGAGCAATGTACAGCAACGAATAAAATAAGTATATCGACTTAGAATGATGCTTAATACGGCTTTTTGTGTACTAGTAGAGTGAAAAACTCAAAACAGTTGATTGTCATTTTAAAGTACAACTTAATTATCGATACATGACAATAAATTCCTTTAGACAAGTTATGTCTACTCATCTTACATGCTTATTCCAAAATATAACATCTCACTAGTGCTGAAATTTCCGAAATAACGGCTAATCATTGACATATGCAGACGTACTTTACCTCGTTATTTTGCCTGAAATTCGAAATTAATTGGGACTAACGAATATCAACCCTTCAGTTAACCGTCAAAATCTTGCTCAGTTTACTCATCTCTGTTTATTCACGTGGTTTAAACAGCTTCAAAATAGTGTGCTGCTAACTACTTAGTGCTTGAGCTTATAAGTGTTTGGTGCCAAGTTACCTTAATGTGCTTACACAACTTAGGTATATTAAATATCCTCCTCTCTCGATAACAACCGCTTTGTTTCCATTTGCAAAATATGGTATTAATGATTATTTTTCGATACTTATTATTGAAAGTTATTGAACTTCGGATGCGCACTTAAGCATTTAAAAAATATTCGAAAAGTTATCATTTCCATCTGTTAACTTTGTTGACGGTCAAGGCACGTATTGCATATAGTAAATAAACACTAGAGACAACTGAATATTAAAAAGATATTACTTCTATGAGATATTTTTTAGAATTCAACAACTGCATGAAAAAATACACATATACACGCACATGTTTAGTTAGTTTTCTTTCGATTCGACCATTAGCCAGTATGTAACGTTTTACTGGTGCTACCTCCCCATTGGCTACAGCAACACAAGCTGACAACCATAATCTATCACGAGGAGTCAGTGATATGGTAGACATATTTGATTTTGTGCGTCGATTAGTATTTAAACTAGATGAGTTAGATGAAGTATATATTGGGTTATTATCTTTGTTTTCAATTTCATCACAAATTGGAGGTGGGGGTGCAAAACACATAACACAATGTTTACTTTTAGGCCAATTTTCGTAAGTGCATTCAGTACAGGTCCATTTTCCTGATGGTGCCAAAGATTCTATCGTATGAGGAGGAGAAGGGGGTAGAGGACATAAGAAAGCTGAAGACGCCTGCTTAGAAACCTCATTATCCAAAACTGGTGAGTCACAAAGAACTTGGAAACACTGTTCACATTTGAAGTTTTGTCGGTGATTAAGATAAGTACATGACTGACATTTGATCAATTGTGTAGCATCAAACGCAGCTTCAGCACGACAGTCATCAATCTTTTCTGAATCCTTGGACGAAAGATGCAGACGCTGCATTTCATCTTCAATAAGAGTTGAACTCCTCGGTGTACCGCAAAGAGTACATTTAAATGCTGCTGGCCAGTTTTCATATGTACACACTGCACACGGCCACTTAACTCCGTCACTCATGTCTGAAGTTATTTTTAAAGAGAAAAATAATTATGAAAACTATATTCAAATGAAAGTTGAAACTTGACAAATACCATCAACGAACACTCAACAAACATAATTCAGGGTTCAACATATGAGGAAACAGGTCAGAACGAATTATGACGGCTCATATACATATATATATATATATATATATATATATATATATATATATATATATCACGTTATAGGGATTGTGAACATTTTTCCTTCTCATAGTCATATCTCCAATGTGTTTTTATTCAATTACCACTGTAGCAGGCTGAAATGATACAGTTCTGTGAGATTTAAAATTATTCTGTAAGTAACATCATTTATGAGGAATTCGCCAATAATCACTTCGAATAAGACATTTGGAAGACAAATTTCGCGAGATGATATCATTTCGTAGTTTCTCTGCAATCGCTCTGCAACTAACACGGTTCACAATAAAATAAAATTCATGACAATTACTGTTATATGAAACAAAAGTACATACTAATCCTTCGCCTACCGTGGACTACTTCACCTATTAAAATATTAGTCATTAGTATGTACTTTTGTTTTATATAACAGTAATTTTCAAGCATTTTATTTTATTGTGGACCATGTTAGTTGTAGAGCGATTGCAGAGAAACTACGAAATGATATCATCTCGCGAAATTTGTCTTCCAAATGCCTCATTCAAATTTATTAAGGGGACTGCTCACTTTGCTGAATTCAATAAAATATGCATGTAATGTTGGAAAGAAATCATATTTGTCGCTAGAACCGCTAAATTTTAAAAACTAGGCATCTTTTTTTGAAGTGTTATATCACTCGGTTAACCTTAAGAATGAAAGTGGGAATTCTAAGTGCAGCTATTTACGTCCACGTGAAACTCACTCATTATCCTAAGAAGTTATTTTTTAAGTTATGAAACAATTTAACTTATCCTTGTATATCAGACAAGGTTTTCAGTAGATTCACGAGAAGGAAACTCAAAGTATACAAGTAGTCGGGTAGAGGTGCAACTTTTATTTGTCATGACTTGACAAGATACTACTCAAAACAGGCACTTCACTGGTTACTATAATGAATATCCGGTTTTCTCAGCTGAAAGGTGGGAGGCTACATACTATACAGCTCACCCAATTAGTCCACACATTGATCAAACAAATAATACAACAAGAACTTCAGAGAAATGGTGTGTGACTAAATGTCGTCGCACGAATTGGAAGTTTCCGGTAACCAAAAATCTACCATAACTATCTTTTGACTTCGTTTTCTCGCTTTTCGAGAATAACTGACTTGTGAATCTTACTTAGTGGTGTCGTCGTCCGTATCACACCATGCGGCAGGCGTGACTGCTAGTTTAACTTCGCCCAGCTCGAATTTAAGGTACCGTGGTGTTGGTAGTTCCATTGAGTTTTCAGTGTCAACTGGATTTGTTGTAATTGTAAGCATAGTATTATAAACTTAAAGTGCATGAACTTCAGCGCTGCTATAGCAGAAATCTTACCGTTTTTTGGTTACTACATTATTCTCAACTTCGAAAATAACCGCCAACATAAGCATATATTGACCGACAGCATTGGTGCGATTAAACAAATAAGTGTTGAAAGCTCTAGGTGTCCATTCTCATAGCCTCCTATTTCTTTTTTCTGATAATCGAAGTGTTTTCAACCAGGTTGTAAAGGCCCTTTTATTTTCAAGTGCTCTCTTTCTGTCGTTTCGACACACTTCTAGATCTTCGAAGGAATCCAGGGTTATCTATTTCCTTGATTTCTGTACTTCCTGAATCGTGCTTCACTTTTTGGGTGTAGACGCATTCTATTAACCAACTCAGCTGTCAGCTTTTTTCCATAAGATCCCTGCTGCTAAGTGAACCTGAGTCAGCACCTTGATAAATTACCTTCTTCTCGCATTCTTTATACAACCCACCTACACGTTCATAATATTTTCAGTGTCACGTATTTGTTATGCCTTTTTCTGTCTTACAAATGACCAGAAATCTAATCTGGATGTAAGAAAATGAATGCTTGTACATTTTAGTATTGGCACTGGATTTGCTGTGCTCAATGCGTTTGGACTCTTTGAAACATAACTACTTGATCTCATTCGATATTGTTCGGAACTGTTGCTTTTACGAAATGAGTTTTCCACCACTAAAATCTATGAAAACATAGTGCGAGCACCTAATTTATATGCTGTTTTTTCATCTGTCAAAGTAATGAGCTGCCTTGTCCTTCCTTAAATCTCAAGGACAATACCCCAGACTGTTTCTATGACACTGTCAGTTATTTTGGGAGGCAGCAACATTTTCGATGCTATTCTCGAGATAGTTTGGGTTAGGAGACTACAATATTACACGTGGCGAATTTCTGATGAATCAGATACACCATTGATTTCAATGATTTGTCTGCACCTGAATTATAAAGGCCTTGCTTCTAGGTAATCTGTATCTGTGAGAATCTCTGGTTAATTAACCTATCCGTCAGTGATAAATCTGGGGATTCTTCTAGAAGGTATTTACTTTGCTTAGCAACATTGAGCCTTGGTTCAGCTAGCACTGTAATGTTAGCTGATGAATCGCTTTTCTGGAATTTCACAAACTGATGTCGAATATCTGAAACAAATTAGGATTCTGTACCTGGCAGTTTTCGAATTAAGGCAATGTTTCCTTTGTCGCTCCATTTAACTGCCCTCCTTTCATATTAAAACTGATATACAAGACCGCCATTAGTTCCACAATGTAATACAAACCTTAAAGTCTGCAAACTAGTTTTCTTATCGGTAATAAATTCGCCTAAAACCCATTAGAAAGCCTTTCTCTATCCTACATTTCAGCACACAAAAAGCATAAAACATCATTAAAGGAGGGAGGATGGGCTAGCTGATCCGTAGATATGGTGGTGGTCACTAAGGCGAATCACCCCATTCTGCAGGAACAGCAATATGCAATTTGAAGGCTCGAGATATTTCTGATTTTTTGAGGGCTTAGATCTTTATCTTGAAAAAGATGATAATGAACGCCTAGACAGATCATGCTTCTGCCTTTTAATATATACCCTTCGCTCAGCCTGTTGTTGAGATGCGACCACGCGGGATCTGCACAGATTTATGGGGAATCTTATAAATTAACTTGCTGTTCATTGTCGGATCTTTGAATACCACTTCACAATGTCTTATCTCATTCATTTTCTAATAACGTCTTTACTTGATCCTCATAACATTCCATTAAACCTAACATTTTATAGCTCTTTATGAATTCAGTTAGACTCATTCTATTCCTATTCTCTGTAGGGTACGGTTGTGCACCAAATAGACAAGAAGGCATGAAATAAGAACAACTGGCTTGAAAATAATTGTATTAAAGCCAAAAGTGGACATCATGATAGTACGATTTATATGGATAGTATAATGCATTGCAAATGAACGTTGTTGGCCTAAGGATTAATTACTTCCCCATTCTGTTTCCTATATAAATGTATTTATTAATGATATATTGCACTTACCTATTTCATGACACTTTAATGATTTACCCTAGCACTTTAACTTTTCTAAAACAGCTTCCAATCCCTTGTAAACGTTGTGCTTACCTCAATATTGGTTGGTTATCGTATGCCTACAACCACGGGATGAAGACGAAACGAAGTCAGTTTTCCCGCGCAACCTCGCGGACAACTGTACAATTCAATAACTCTACGGCCCGGTTGTGACGATGAGTGTAATTATATATATATATCAAATATTTAACTGTTGGAACATTATTAACTTGTAGACAATTTAAGATTTGACATTATACCGTACTTGATCGTGCCTGTAAAAAAGGCATGCATTTTCATGTAAATTTATGTTTATATGAAAATACAAATTATTATGATCTAAAACTCTCTAACAGACATTTCTCTTGAACTCCTAACTGGATTGGGACTCATGCATGCAGTGGATGGATACGGCACCGCATAGTTATGTCTCTCCGGATATTCGCCATGTAATCAATGGGATCAAAACTAAGTGGAGACTGATATGCTCATTTCGGGCTTTGAGATTCAGCTAGCCATATGGAGACGTGGACTTGATGGTGAGATAAAAAGTATACCTCATTAATTTGGAGTAAAGACTTGTCAATGTCGTCGATATTGAATTAGTGCTCAATGGTCTGGCATATTTGGAGTGGTTCCGTCTCCATTTGAAGTTGCAATCCATACTTTGGTCTAGTTGTTTACTGTTCAGCAGACGACTGGAGCACTACGATCGGAAACTTTGGAGCCGGACCATTTGAACCCGTAACACTTGAAATCTTCTTGTGAAGGGTGAAGAAGTGATGTAGAGCGCCCCCAGACTAAGTGATGAAATAGTATTGATGTATTTATCAAGGAATCGAACTTGTGCTGCTGCTAGAGCTATACAATGTTGCAAATTCTTGCATTCGAATGAAGGGTATTCTGAAGAAAAATGTAAGTTACGCTAAAGGATTCGAAAGCTTTCCATGATTTCTGGATGTACGTTTGACATTGATAAAGATATTGAGTGGCGGCCAAGCGATGATCACAAAAGTCTCACCTTTTTTCTGGACAGTTTGATAATGCGAAAAAGCACCTTGATTTCTCTAAATTGCATGAGTGGCATGAATTCAAGTTTTGTTTTCTGAAATAATCTCTAGCGGCTTACCAATTTGATTACAAAGAAAATAGGTTTAATTCGGCATTTGCTGAGAGTAACAAGATGTAGGTCCCGATTTTGATGATATTTTGAAACTTGTGCAAGATTGTTTAGGCGAGGAAGATGGCAAATTTACCGGAATCTTATATCTTAACTTTGAAACTGACGGATTCTTAGAAAAGGATAAATCATTTGTAATAAAAGTCTTATAGAGTCCTGTAAAACTGAAAGGATTTATCATTTGTGGTAATAAACACTAGCTTAGTGTGTGTAACGGCTTCTTTGAAGTGACTCTGTCAAAAGGGTTACAAGTTCTGAGGCAGCCATGACAGTGTTTTAGCTGTTTGAAAGATGGGCTTACGGAATAAACCTGCAAGGCAGTAGAGAATGAAAGTAATGGTCCCGTTGGATTGCGTCCACATTTTATCATGGAAAATGCCCATGAGGACTCTGTTAACTGTAATAGCGCTTTCCAGCCTCATGACGTTCAGACAGTCCACTAAGGTGTGTTTTCGTCCTGAGAGAGATGATTATTGTCATTTGTTGGTATACATGCTGTCAATCACGTCTCATAAACCGTTAATGCCCAGCTCTCGCTACGCTCGGGACCACGCTGTTCTTCGAAGATTTCTCAGAAACGCTTAGTTATAACGGACGAAAAAACCAAAACACCGATCTGCCGCTTGATATTTCTTTATTGTTACACCAACATATAAAAAGAATAAGTGAACTAAGGTCTGAAAACAAATATTACAATAATAAATCATTGTATTACTTCTGACGATGTTTCACTCTTCTTTCTGAACAGCGACCGATGAGACGATGACTGTCGTATTGATGCCTCCGCGAAAATTGGGGAAGTTGATTTTGAGCAAACAACCAAGAATTGATCGTTCAATCTTCAACTCCATTGACACTCCCCGGCAAAAAAGGGATCCAACCCTTTTTTCCTTCACGATCAATGCACGTTGACTTGGATGCCATTGCGAGAACCTGGGTCACACGGACAGAGCTGAAATGGAAAACAAACAGAAAAGCCAACACACCACAAGCATACCCACAGCACAATCTCACACATCGCTGACGACCTGCGCCTCCAGACAGAGACCTCCTCTTGACATCTTGCAACACAATCGCCACTTGCTAGAATGACTCTTGCAGAATGCAAAGTGACCATGGCAGGACCTCACGATACTCTACGCTCATCCTCTTATCTACTCACTACCAATTACCACTGAAATCGCTTGTCACTCATTCTGCCTCAATTCTAGTAAAGATGACGTATGCGAGCCTCAGTCGTTTACACTCTTTCTCCCCGGCGTGTCGGACCGCAGCTAACAATTATCTCCGTGTGCGTTTCATTCTCAGCAATAGCCTAGCCTCCCCGGCGTATACGACCCATCTGCTGTCCTTAACATCAATCAATTCATTCATGGATGTAGAAGAGTGGACACAACTTCAGAAGTAATCACGACGAAAATTTTAACAAAATTACGCAATAACAACAAGGTACGAAAACAACAAGTAAACACAATGAATCCAAAATACACCAATTGCTATGACACACCACACGTATATACAAATAGTACACACAAACTCGCCGATCATGTCTTGGTGGAATTATTTTGAAGAATTGCAGGACTTACACCAGTACGCCTGCAACCCTTCACGGGTTGACGATTGTAAGTTGTGGAATGTCCAGACACAAACAAGATTAACCAACAATTACATCAATTGGAACTCACACAACTATTTAACACAAACATATGTACAATCAACACATCAAATGTTGTGGATTCTGACACGACAAACTACCCTTGAAGAACCGTAGGACTTACAGCAGTACGCCTA